TATATATATATATATTAAAATTTTAAAATTATTAAATTTTTAATGAGAAAGACTAAAATTGCACAATTATGATATTTGAGAGATTAAAATTGTTCAATTAAAAATTGTGAGACTAAAATTACACAACTATAATCTTTTAAGGACTGAAATTACTCAATTAAAACCTTAGAGATCAAAATTGCATAATTATAATATCAAAAACACAATTAAGTAAAGAATATTTTATTCACAGTTTTGGAACGGGCCGTTCTGAATCTAGAACGGCCCGTTCTGAAAGCAGAACGTGCCGTTCTGGTTTCAGAACGGCCCGTTCTTCTTCACTGGTGATGTTTTAATTTTGCAACCAGAACGGCCCGTTTCGGTTTCATAACGGGCTGTTCCGGTCCAGGAGTTTTCAAAAAAATTCTCATCCACGTGACCAAAAGGTAACACCGTTAAAGCAATTTGGACGGAAAGTCTCACATTGAAACTAATTAATTAATTTGGGACTAAATTGAAATCAATTAATTAGTTTGTGACCAAATTGAGACAAAAAATTAATGAGGGACTAAATTGAAACAAAAAAGATTATAAGGGACCAAAATAGGTTTTTAGCCTTAAAATTATTAGTGAATTTATTAAAAAAAATAGTTACTAATAAAATCGATAAATATTTCTATGATATTATTTTTGGAAATATTTACCTGAAATTTTTTAGTAGAATTTCAGTCTTTATTTAAAATTTAAAAAGAGAAAATTAAAATAATAAAAAAAGCATGAAGTTTCGATGACCAAGATTTTTTATCGAAAAATTTAACGGTATTATTTAAAAATAATAATAAAAAGATACACATAATAATTTTTTGTAAAATTTAAAGCATGTATTAAATAATAAATTAATAAAAGATAACAGTTTTATTATTACTAATATGGAGTGAGAATCTACCGTAAGGATGATGCTCAAGCAATTAAGCAAAATATAAATCAGGCCTATTAGCGTGTGTGTAGTTGTCTTAAGTGGTAAGTTTCCTGATTTTTTTCTTTCGTGGTCCATTTCATTATGCCGTCTTGGGATTGCCATTTACTTATCCGCGTCTTGTTTTGACGGTGCGTTCCTTCCCAACCCAAACGCTATTGCGATTGCGCACTACCGGTAGATCCGGTTGCCCGTTACTTCTTCCTTTTCTCTAATCTTTTGTCGTTCCATCCCCTTTTGCTATTTCAAAATAACAAAGCATAGTACCCGCTTTTCACACTATTTACAGAGCGATTCTGCTACTTTTCAACTCCGAACCCTATCCCTAGGGTTTTTCAGGTTTTTCCATTTTCGTTTCCGTCGATTATTCTTGCTGTTCCCTTTGTTTTTGTTATTCTGAGGAAAATTCAGTTCGGAAACGAAAGAACTTCGATCTTGCGTGTTTTTTTTTTTTTTTTTGCGTGATCTTTTGTTTATTTGCGGAATGTGGTTATTGTCTTTCATTTGTAATTTTGGTTTTCTGAACATAGAAATTGTCTTGCAGTGGGTTGTTTGCTGGCGCTTCTAATTTAATGCTATAGGCTGAGGTTGAAGTGGATCCACTCGACTCAATAACTCTTCTCAACAACTTTTGATGCTGTTGTGAAGCTTTAAGGTCAATAGGTATAAGTACTGTGAAGCTTATGCGATTCTCGACCTAACGATTATTGGACTAGTTACTCTGTAGTCTGTACTATACTTTAAACGACATTTCTGTAGTTCTTAATTTTTTATGATTCCGTTGCCAAATGCGTTTCTGCACTCCATTCTTCTTCTTCTTCTTTTTTTTTTGAAATATACAAGTGAACTTTAAAGATTTAACAATAAGACACAAGATTGTTACCAAAAAAAGACACGGTATTAGCAGGGGGAAGGTGAAGTAACTTTGTTGTTTAATCTGTTGGATTAAGTGGACTTTCTTCTCTCTTGCAATCTCCTAGTGGGACACTATTTTGGCTAATTTGTCTTCCTAGTAGTAGTAAGGGGCCTCAGAAAAGTTGATTTCCTATGGGCTATGAGCAATTCAATATCCATGCCTTTTAACAATTATGTTTTTCCTGCTATAATAGAATGTCTCGAGCGGAGCAACTTTGGGAGCGGTTAGTCCGTGCTGCATTGAGGAGGGAAAGGATTGGTGATGATGCATATGGGCGACCTGTTGGAGGAATTGCTGGAAATGTACCATCTGCCCTAGCTAAAAATAGGGATATAGATGAAATTTTAAGGGTTGCTGATGAAATTCAAGATGATGATCCCAATATCTCAAGAATATGTATGTTTGTCAAATCTTGCTCCATTTTCCTTATGTATTTTTTATTAATTTGTTAATTTTCATTCCAACATTTTAGTGATGCATAAGATGGGTTTTTTGGCATTCAAGGTATTGTATGCATACTAGATGTTCATATCAGCCAAACAAGAGAAAGAGGATGAAAATTCAAAAATCACCTTATTTCCTAATTATCTAATATAAAAAAATTGAAATGAGTTTATAATATACCTTTTTCATCTGTAAAGCTAAGGTTTTCTTTGATACTTTGTTTGGATGTGGGAAGTATGGAGGAAAGAAGAAGGACTGTAGGAGAGAAGAGAAAATGAGTACATTGGAAGAGAAAGAAATGTTGAAGCCTCTATCCACTTGTTTGGTTTAATATAATTCTTTAGTAACATAAGTAGAATCAAGTGGGCTCCACACTAGATGAGAGAAATAAATAGAAGGGTATAATTGGATTGAGTGGATTATTTTGTCAAAATTTAAGTTTTCTATCCGTGAGTCTCATATTTCTTTCCTTCCTTCCTGTTTTCTCTCCCCATCAAAAGTGAGAAAAAATGGTACGTTCTGCTTATTTTCTTGTTTCCCAACTTCCCTCCTCCCATTTTCTTTTGAAACAGCATGACTGTAAGGATTTGGTTTGTGTTTTGCGACACCCTTAAAGATGCAATCTTTCCATTCTAATGAAAACAACAAAGGGCTGCATAAAATGTACTGTGCCCCAATATTTATCTTCATTGTAGTTATCAAATCTGCTAAATCATTATAGCAACCATCAGAAAATGCTGCGAAGTATGTGGAATCTTCTGCAAAAGAAAGGAACTACCTTACAATTAAAACATAAGTGGTCTACCAATTTTGAACTAGATCTATTCATAATGTATATGTTGGAAAAATGCCAGTGAGGACTAGATCTTCAACATGTCATTTGCATTTTGTTAGGCCCAACTGCATCAAACAAAAGGCTTTCCCTTATACAGAAATCTGAAGTTTTTCTGATGAACTAAACTTTTAACATATTCCTTTCTACTGAAATTTAATTTTTGAACAAACAATCCTCATCACTTGGTCTGTCTTTGATATCATGTCAAGGACCAAATCTTGTTAAACTTCAAGAGTGATTATACATCTTTAACAATTACTAGTAGTTGAATTATGCACGGTAGAGAGATGGTATATGTGACAAAAAGTCTCTAAACAAAACATTCAGTCCAATATTACCAAGACTTATTATGAGTACTATCATCCCATGTTGATCAAAATCTGTATGTCAAAAAACCTTGTTGCCTAAACACTCAGAAGTTTGCTTTATGTATTGTTGGTTTAAAAATTTAGTATATTGATGTGAACAACTCAAAGTTTCATTGTGTTGTGAGTCACTTAGGTACCATTGACAGCTGTTTTATACGAACTGTAGATTCATGTGTTGTGTTTCATTATCAGTATTTTTATTTTGTATGTTCTCTACCACTTTATCATATGGTCTCTGCTGTCTTCTTTGCCCCATCATAGTTTCCTTTCCTCTAGATACCTATTTTTTTTGTTCTAAAATAATTCTTATTCGTTTGCAGTATGTGAGCATGCATATTCACTATCTCAAAATTTGGACCCTAACAGTGAAGGCCGAGGTGTTTTACAATTCAAGACTGGTTTGATGTCTGTCATCAAGGTATAAATTTATAGTCTAGTTATGTAGAATTAAAAAAAGTTTAACTTTGGGGATACTTGTGCATACTGGTGTGTTTTTATTTGACTGTGATTCTGTGGTGCTTGATTGGTATGCTAGAATTTTGCTGCATGGTCTCTCTATGCCAGCTCCTTTTAATAGTTCATATCATTTGGTTTCCTTTTTTTATTGCATGATTGGTATTTCAATTTGCTGCGTGAACTTTGCCTTTTTTTTAATGCCCAGCTGGTCAGGGTGCCCCTCCCCCTTTATTTATAGAGTTTGGGTGTGTTGGGTCACATAGCTAGGTGACACAAGGCAGCCCCTATGCTCAGGTCCAATTGTGCCCAAGAACGTGGAGGAGTGTTGGTGGTAAGGCATTTTCGCATGAGGTGATATGATGTTTTGGAATGCCTCTGAGATTCTTTAAATGTGGTTGTGTGTTGGGCTTGGGCCCTTGGAGGAGTCCAAATCACTAATGTCACAAAAGTATTTCATGTGAGGATTCAAGAACCAAATGTAAAGTGATAGAAAGCAAGGAAAAGTGTTAGGGAACAAGAGAGAAAGACACTCAATGTGTACACTAGAAGGAAAAGGAGAGTTAGTTTGGCAATTAGTAACTGAAGTTAAATGAATTGTATCTAGCAACAAATATAAATATAAGGAAACTCTTACTATAGAAGAGGGCATGCCTGAACACGATTGTAATAACTGATTTCTTAATTGGAAGAGGAAAACATTCTCTTGGCAAAGCCTACTTTGAATTGTTCTCTGTCTCTTCTCTCTTCTTCATTCTCTGCTGGTTTGCCCTAGCTAATTCTTTTGGCCATCATTCACATATCAGAAAGTGATGGACAATTGAAGAGAGATGAGAGAAACAAATGCCCAATGAAACTGAAATTTGCTGATGTGAATGGTAATTTGATGAGATTTGTTACAACTATATGTAGTTATAGTTGCAAGTTGTAACTCAAATCGGCAACAGTCAGTTCTAAGCAATTCAATGAATTATTAGTGGACAATCTTGTGGTTAAAATGTCTGCATGATGATCTTTGCAGGGTTGAGTTCCACCTTTAGGCTTTAATTTATCACCTCTTCTCTGTTTGACAAAAAATAGATAAAGTTTCAAGTGTTTATTACTTTACTTATGAATGAATTATTGGATTATAGGTGAATGTGAATGTGAATGTATTGTGTTGAGGTTATGATAGTAGATGTTAAGAATGACACCAAGAACTTCTAAGTCCCTTAGCAGGGTCTAAATCCACAACAATATGTGTTAGTCATGTGCTTGCATTTGGCTATAGTACTAGATCTAGAATTTGATGATTGTTGTCTTGAACTGTTAGAATAGAATATGTGATTGTAATAGAACATCTATTTGTACTCTTTGTAAATTGCTTATCTTGTGTAGGCCCAGGTCCTTTGTCTATTATATTCTTTTCTGTTTTCCTTTTCTGTTGGAGTTCAGTTACGTCTGAACTGCTTTTTCTTTTTCTGTTGCCTATATATAATAGGCTTCATGTACAACTCTAACATAATACAGAAATATATTCAAGTTCATATAAGAATTCTAGCATATCCATATCCATGGCTTCCACACCGGAACTAATTTGTTCCCACCCTCCCTCTCCTACGATCACTACTTTCTCTCTCGCGACCTTTGAGAAGCTGACGGAGAACAACTTTCTTCTATGGAACCTATTATCAAAGGTCATCAGCTACATCGATTCCTTGTGAATCATCAGATTTCGCCACGATTCCTAACGGAAGATGACCATGACGTTGGAAATGTTAATTTGTTGTATCTTCATTGGGAGCAACAAGATTCTCTCCTCTCATGGATCCAATCTTCCATTATTGCACTGATTCTCTCACGCATCATTGGCTGCGTGCATTCTTGGTAACTTTGGGACAAATTACATAATTATTTCAATGCGTACACGCGTGTGTGATCATGGATGCTTCGTATCAATTCACGAAATTCGAAGAAAGATGATCGATTGATTTTGGAGTACATTCTGTGCATCAAAGCCATTGTTAATGCACTTTGTTCGATAGGAGATCTTGTTTTAGCTCAAGAACAATCGGATGTTATTGGTGAAGGCCTACCAAAGGAGTATGATTCACTGATTAATCTCTTAACTAGCATATTTTGAACCTTATTGACCTTGATGAAGGTTACAATTCTGGTCCTACACCTAACCATTTTCAATAGCATGGAAACAATTCAAATCCAAATCAGCAAGGTGCAAATACCTATGGTATCAACAATAGTGCTCAATTCAACAACAATTTCTCATCTATTCTTGAGGCTTTCACCTCCATCATCAACAATTGTCCTTTTGTTTGGTACCCTGACTCGGGAGCTTCACACCATGTGACTCCTAACCAACTTAACATTCAGTAGAATGTTCCATATGATGGTCTAGATCAGTTACTTGTTGGAAATGGACTGAGTCTTCCTATAGCTTCTTCAGGTTCAACTTGGTTCTCTTCCCACGTTAATCCCAGAGTTCAACTTGTTTTTCATATTCTGCTTCATGTTCCTAATATTACTAAAAATCTAGTTAGTGTATGTCAATTTGCACAAGATAATAATGTTAGGGTTTCATCCTAAAGTTTGTCTTGTAAAATGTCAGGGTTCCAATGAGGTTCTCTGAGGTGAACTTGGTCGAGATGGACTTTATAAATTCTCAAATCTTTAGATTCCTCTTGCACAAAGAAATCATTGTATTTTTCCAATTATAAATATTGTTACTTTTGTTAATACATGGCACTACAGGTTAGGCCATCTAAATAAAGACATTTTGCGTCTTACTTTACAACATTGTAATGTTTCCAGATTTAATAAAAATGATTTGGAATTCTGTTCTTCATGTTGTATGGGCAAAGCACATCGTCTACCTTCACATGCTTCCTTGACTGTGTATTCTGCTCCCCTTGACTTAATATACAGTGATCTTTGGGGCCCTGCTCCTTTTACACCCTTTGGAGGTTTTAGTTATTATATTACTTCTATAGATGCTTAATCTAAGTATACTTGGTTGTTTTTGAAAACTAAGTCTAAAGCACTCAATGCTTTTTCACATTTTAAAAGCATGGTTGAATTGCAATTTAACCGCAAAATTAAAGCTCTACAAATAGATTTTTTTTTTGG